GCGCTGCCTGGAGCTGCTTGGTGGCAGCGCACCCGAAGGACTCCTGTGACTGCCCAAATGTGTAACAGTCTGCATGTTCTGAGAAGATGCCAAAAGAAAAAAAGTTGAGTCGAGAATTTATCGCCCCGCACTAGGCTCACTTCGTCAACAAATTCGTTCGCTGGCCCGATCTGATGGGACATGTCCCTGAGCACGAGGACTCAGCACTAGCATGAATAGCATCTTCCCTGGCCTAGGGCTGCTTGAACGTGGCGCTGCACCGGAAGGACTCCTGCAAGGTGCAGGACCAGTTGCAGGAAAATGTGCGCTTTCTGACGAGGGTGATGAGGTAACGACCAGATTCCATAGGAGGCTTGACCCTATACTGGTGATGTTCGGGTGGAGCTGGGCGGCAGAACGGTGGTGGCTTTATTGAACAATATGATTCACATGGCGGACAAAAGTCCACCTTACCTTTGATACGCAGATATACCCAGAAAGTCGTCCTTGTGAATTTCACCTGCCATGTTTTGTGTGTTTTGCTTCTGCAATGGATAGCCACTGATTGAGGACATCAAAGCATCGCGGCAAAAAACGACCAAAGGATCTTTGTATTTCCTTATGTCTGAGACTGAGATGATACAACATGCATGAGAGTAAACATCTGTCTACTCCAGAAACATGTATGACTCCTAAACAATCAAACCATTGAAAAAACGAACCAATACGTTTTTTCTGTTAGCAAAGCTCAGCTAAGCAACATTCTTCACCTACAAACACAATCCCAACTGCTCTGACCTCGGGCTGCTTGCAGATGGCGTACCACCAGAACGACTCCTGTGAATGACAAGGTGTCAAGGGCAGGATTCCCGTGCCGGGGGGCATCTCAACACGGAATCCTGCGGTGTGTAAGCCAAAACCGTGGATAGTCCTCAACTCATCGCAATTTCGGTAAATATTTTATGTTGAATACAAAGGATTGGATCGCTTGTCTCATTCAAAAGTGCTGACAGAACTGCCTTAATTAGTGCTTGAAGTCAAAAAAGCATTCTCTTTTAGCTTTGCGAGCTTGTTGCCCAAGCCTGCCCTGAGCCTCAGCAATTGCACGGTTGTGGATTCGCTTCAGGTGGGCAAGTTGTCAACCGCACCGCAGGAAATGGTGTTGCTTGATGTTGCTTGTACATGAACAAAGTGACCCAAGGTGCTCTTTGGGCAACCACATTTCAAGAGAACTCTAGAAACAGTACAAAGACAACTGGAAAAAAAATTGTTGAAACTCTATACTATACCATCTTTTCTTATATATACACATATATCCGGACGCAAACGAACGCCTTCCAAGGAGAATTATATACAACTGTTTCCCACACATGTTGCTACGGTGTCAGAAGATTTTGGATTTTGTGGCCCATCAACATGCACATCGTTCAATAGGTAGGGGCATTCAGTCCAGAGTTGTTGGGCACGTGACATGCCAGTCCTGTCTGTCTTTTCGGCTTTCATTGGGCTCCTGCGAAGCTCGGGTAGAAGTACAATGTTCAGTGTGCACATTTTCTACATCCAGTGGAATCAATCCAAGGAATCCGATGAAATCTAACCTAATAGCAATGGCCTCCAACCTAGTAGCGATGGCCTCCAACCTAGTAGCGATGGCCTCCACCTAGTAGCCATGGCCTCCACAACGTTAGTAGCGATGGCCTCCACCCTAGTAGAAATGGCCTCCAATCTCAGAGCAATGGCCTCCAACCTAATAGCGATAGATCCAGTGGAATCAATCCAAGGAATCCGATGAAATCCAATCAAAGTCGCTTTTGTTCCCTCGTAGGAACTTTGCCCGAATGAATGCGAGTGATCCTGATGAGGGATTAGTGTTGCAATGCTTCAAAATGGCTTCCGCACTAAAGGATACGACACGGGGAACGACGCATTATTTACAGTATATATAGTATATGAATTATATATGATGTGTAGGTAAAACATTGTGGAGCAAGTTCTGGGCAGCGCTAGTCTAACAAATTGCCCCTCACTGAAGAACAAAGAGACGGTATCACCCACATAGTCAAAGCAGCACACTGCCCTACACACTCAAGTCTTCAGACACAAGCCACTCCACTCTCCAAATCTCTCCAATGTCCTGAGGGCTACAGCTGCGGATCGTTCGACACCCCGTCTCCTGGTCGGCTGGGCACTGAACACACATGAGTCATCATAAGTCTATATTCTTATACTCCATGTGTTCACTGCTTGGGAGTGACTTGGGAGATTCATTGAGCTCTTGATATTATATTGGGCTCAACACGGTCTAAGTCAATACAGGAGTGATAGAATCTAGATGCTGCAGGATGTTGCCTGTTGATTTGGGATTCTAAGCGTGACTGGACCAATGCGTACCTTAGATCCACTACTGAGTGGGGCTCACAATTGTGCGAAGTGCCCGTTCGTTGCTCTCACTAACGCATATTAACCTCATGCTAATACCCAAGTTTGAATGGTTTCCATAGCCCCCCAACGTTACGCTGAGCAACCACCTCGGGATGGGCAATCCACTTTGCAGCTTGATGTAATGAAGAGTAAAGCTATGTAAAGCTGATTCTGTTTGTCCGACGCGCCAGAAGCTAAGCCAAAACGCAACGGCCAAGAGCAGGTGGGCAAGAACATCACAAACAGGAAAGCAAATCCACATCGAAAAATCACACAAGACCGCACTCGTCACTCTTCACTGAAAGGGTGTGTGCAATCCTTGCTGACTTGCGAGTATGCCAAATGTGCTGGATCGGATTTTCATAGCCTAGAGTGGAATCCTTTCCATTTGAACCATGGCACTGCATTGCTGTGTTTGTCTGTCTCTTTTTGCCCACCAAGTGTCCAGCTGCCTCAACTAGGCCAGTTGGGAGTGATGCCCGAACTAATTCTCAAGAAGTGAAGAGAGGCATTTCTCGAAATGGCCTGGATAGAAAAGAAATGAAAAGAATAGATACGGGCAGCCTGTGAGTGTTCTTGGTCAAAAAGAAACAGAAACCTGTACGAGTACCATCCTATACCCCCTGTCACATGTTGACCACTTTGTTGAAGGATGGTAATGGCTGTACAACGACCAGGTACTCATGATTCATACGTTCACTAATAAATCACCCAGGTCATTGCTCCTTCTGAAGTTAGACCCTAATTTATTGTGACTGAGATGATGCAGGATCCAGCAATCCCCGGTGACAAGATCCATAGCAGCTCAAGTTGTTTTGCTTGCCTCAGCTCACTGGATGGCTTGGCCAATGTGGATTTCACTTGGACACGAACATCAAACTATCAACCCTCTTACCAGTGAAGTCTGAGAGCTCGAGGCATGGGACTCATACAATGAGAAGAAGAATTGTTTGAAGCGCAGACTTGGTTCTATCAAAAGAAAATACAAGCTCGTGCTTCAAGCAAGAATCGATGCCTCGCCCTAGTACAGTACAATCCTTGAATTCAGGCCAACAATTTAATGATGGTCTGGTTGAATTGGCCTACAAGCAGGTTGCCTTGAGGTCTTGAACGTTTGTCAACAAAAGTGCCGCCGTTGCACTGAGTAAATATTAGAATTATTGTAATATACAGTTAATATACATATATAATTGTATATATAGCTAACTGCTGAATATCCAGGGCGCACGGTTCAAGTGTGAATGCTGGATGCAAACAACAAAAGAACAAGCTGGGAGTCCAAGAACACATCCCTAGCTCTAGTTTCTATATATACTACACCAATCTGCGATGGGAAGGCCAAACAGGGGTATGCATTGGGTATGCACTAGTAACAAGTGCACCGCTACTAGCGAGTCGCGGTTTGATCCGAGAAATCTCCAGGCCCAAGCCATCTCGTCCCTCTGAGCACCTGGCCGTCGCCGCCAGGAGGATCCGCCCATGGCGGGAACGGATCCGCGGAAGTGGGGTGACCAAAACCTGGGAAACCTCAAAGGTGTCAAAACCTCAAAGTGTCATTTACATCAAGGTGTCAGAAGTGAATGAAACGGGCACGGACAAAAGAAATGTCCACCAAAACAAGCGATCTCCCAGCCCGCAATCGCATGTCAGCCCCTTACTGACTAGTGAAGTTGGGTTTACTTCAACATTCCATTGGCACGTTGTTCTGCAAGGGGTTTGGGATAGAGCCGGCTCTACAGGGTTGGCGGGGGGAATAGATGTTCACATGAAAAAACACACCATATGTCATATGTTTTGAGGTTGCTTGATGTTTTGCAAAGACAAAATATTTGCTCTGCAAATCCAGGTTGGCATCAACCTACCAATGTTGCAAGGCCTGGCAGTGCTTTGCCCCCCATCTTTCGATAGATGCACACTGCAATGAAACTCAGGGTTTCCATAGGGGCTTGCCGACATGGAAGCTGCATAATCCAACAAGAATCCAACAAATGCCACATACCCCCCAAAAAAGGATCCACTTTTGGATGACGCCTTTGTGAGGCATTGAACTGAATACAGTATCCAAAACCTTGGCAAATATCAGTTGACTTCTGTCTAGCCTGGACCAGTCTACCACACTCTACAACACGTACACAGGCAAACGGGGTCACGTGAAGCTTAAACTCCCAGTTTCGGACATTAACAACATGGCCTCACAGGTCACAAGTAACTCACAAGTCATTCCGGTAAAATAAGATGGCGGCAAGGACGCTACTAGGGGCTCCTGGCCTTACTACTAGGAACAAGGACGCTACTAGGAGCAAAGGGCATCGCTACTAGGAACAAGAAGCTATTAGAAACAATAAACAAATTAGAACCATATATCATATATCTATTGTATTCTTCTTTATTTCTATAATGTGGAGCGCGGAAGCTGTCAAGCCAGGGGAAAACTAGATAATGGAGGACCTTCTAGAAACGGTGCCATCTACCAAGGTGATGCCAAAACACACCTGAAATAAAAGAACACACAGATCATTGCAACTGGTCGCAGTAGTTAGTAGTACTGCTTTTAAGCTCAGGGCAATCTCGCGCGCGTGTCGGATCATGTGGCCCGCATTGTACCGGCTTCATGAAGTTGGGGGTGGGTCTTTGGGTTGGGTAAAGCAAATGTAGGTGTGGTTCACAGTAAAGCTCATATCACATTGCGGCTGCATTTGGGAAAGCAGAATTGTCGCAACTCACTGCGAAATTCTGCACAAACAAACAATAGAAAAAATATATATATACACACCACATTGAGAGACAGCCAGAGACACCGCATACCGCGATAGCACACGCGGAGGCAGCTGGAGACAACTGGACACAGAAAAGAGGCGCGCGGCCCAAGCAATCCAGCACAGCTTGAGACAGCCAGAGACAAGCAGAGATAGCCCTGCGACCAGCAAAAAAAACAAGAACCCTCACAGGTAAATCTGCTTGGTTAAAAGAAATATGACAATATAAACACAGGTGGCAATCAGATGTGACAAACACACAATTGCACCATACATCCCAGCAAACGACCCACAAAAACATCCTGCAAACTTCATTTGTGGCTTGTGTACTGAAGCATCAAAACAAAAATGGACACGGTAGAAAAACACAAGGACAATGCTTGCGATCCACAAGCTCCTCACGAGTATGCATACTGTCACACATTAATACAAAATCATATACTGTAAATATACATTCCTCAACGAGGTGCCTGCAATGCGGAGACCACTAGCAAGACATTCTCAATAACCGGGTCCCTGACAAGTCCCTCCCTGGCAAGCCAGTCCTTCGTTGGTCTCCCCGATCGCCACTCCTCTCACGGCTTCGTCGTGGCCTTGGATCAGCGCTTTCTTTGGAAACGGCTTGCTAAGGTCCATGGAAATGCCCATGACACCCAACATGCTGCGACACTTTGAGCACTGACAAACATCAGCTTTAAAAACGCTCCTCATGTTTGATCCCTAAAGGTCGATGGAGTAGCAACACAGTCACACACCAAAAATAACATTCAAATTCCACATGGCCATTTCTTTACAAAGTTTGGCTCGTTGATTGGCATTCTTTACCTGGCCTCTTCACCTCATCTCTTTGCTCAGAACTGGTTGAGGAAGCTGCAGAAGCACCTGTCCTAGCACAAACTTTGCAAGTACAGCTCCCACAACGTTCATTTGGCACACAAGCACCAGTCTTAACAAACTCGCGCTTTTCGGGGCAGAATCTCTGCTCAAGAATCATGTGTTTGGATATCCAAGGTTTAGACTATCAAACCTAGGGACAAAATCCTGCCAGTGAATGTTACATATGCTCGTTCTGCCGCCTTCTCTTCACAACCGCTGCGGGTGCAGCACACACTAACCACTGGTGAAGCCGCACGGCGCGCCAGACGGAAAGCACCCCCGCACATCCATCTTGCGTTCACAAGTCATGATTGCACTATAGTGGCCGCGTCAAGTTGCTGCTACATCCAAATCATGACAATCATCACAACTCACCGTGAATCACCAAAAAAATTGTCGATCACCACTGACAATCACGGCGAATCAAAGTCGTGGATCAACTCGCCACTTGTTAAACGCACGTGATTATATCTGCAGGTCTGCATTGCGCCGACTGCTGAAGGCAACCCGCTACACTGCTACACAAGGAAGGGAGTCCATGTCATCTGCACAAGCGTACAAATCTCTCGGCACAAGCTTGCCCGCTAGCATCAAGGCAGCCTTTGCTGGTTGTCCTTCGTTAATCAACTTATGAAGTCAACCCAAGCTAGCTCTCGGCAAGCCAACATGAGTAGTGAACTATATGAGTTACCTCAGCAGATTCAGGAGCTGCCTGCCACATTTAACCTATGCATGCTGATTTTGCACAAGTTAACGCGTCACTGGGCCAGTAAGCATGTGTCCATGACTAAGCACCTTTTTCTGTATATTCTTCAGGGGACCCAAGGCAAACACTTTGCCACTGAATATTAGTTGGCCCTGATCGCCTGACTTTCCGGTTTCCATCCTCTTTTCTGCTGACCTTTGGCTTCTGGATTTGAGTCCTGCAAAGTCGCTATCCAGCGCAGGAAATCAAGCAATTTCGTGAATTCTGCAGGGGAGTTTGACGAGCCCTTCTATGCAAACCACCTGTTTACGTTTGATGCAATTGAAATTCCAATGCCACGCAACCGACCCGGCCATAGAGTTCATCCCTCTCAGACAATACGTGCTGCACATGCCACCAACAATTTGAATATATTGGATCTGACACCAGCAAACCGCACAGTGTACAAAACGAGGCTGTGTGAGATGAGTTGGGCTGTGATGGTGAGTTTCCCTGAGCTATTCCCTTCCCTAGGCTCACTAGCACTACCAGCATTGCTTTGGAACTAAAGATCCCAAGGCAAAGGGCCTCGGCTAAGGGCCAACTGACTACTAGCTAGCATACTAGCAAAGCATGGTGCTGCCACCTCAAAGCGCCCCAGACGTTGTGACTGAAGCGAGTTACATCTTCCATGATAGCCTTAAAATGCATGTACAGTAGGGGAATAATACCTTACCTTGCTCATCAAGCGCCAGAAATCCCGGAGCATGTGGGCACTGATTTGGGCAACCGGGCTTGTCAGTATGAGTATTGTTGGTAGACTTCCAGCGCGACTTTGCAGTCCCAAATGATCCATCAACTTGCAGTATCCTTTTCGGAGTCTGCCTAGCTATGGTCTCACAGGCTCTGTGAAGCAGAATGGAGTTAGTTAAGATGGTTTTGTTGAAAAGTAGATCTTCTGTATCTGGTTCCCTTCCGGGCTTTGCATCCGAAGTCCTCACAGACACAGATGCCCTGGGTATCTCAGTTGGCTCGCCTTCACATCTACCTGAACGCCAGAAATGGACTTCCAATGGGGCAGCCCAATTACACCAAACTTACAAATGGTCTGATCATCATGATCATATGAATCATATGTACTTGCACCCACAAAACGTCATTGGGGAAAAGACTCAGAAACGATGATGGCCACACTTGCAATTTGCAATAAAATAGCCTACTTAAACCAAGATACCCTTCTGCTGATCCAAGCTTTCGGTCCCAGTTTGCATGGCGTCCATGTCGGACTCGTCATCACTTTCTTCCTGACAGCTGAGCAACCCTGATTCACAAGCTGCAAATTCTGTCTTCTGAAGCCGAGGGGGCTGATGGTGTTTGCTCTGAGCTGTGGAGTCACGACTTTGCTAGGTCGAATCTTTGGACTTGCGCTGAAACATGTAATGCAATGCTCAAAGCTGCCTGCAGGCTGTCGACTGTCAAATAAGCCCTTCAAGACGTTTCCTTGCCTTGGAACATTCAGATTCCTCGTGAATCTGCTCGTGCTGAGGGGATGCCTCCTCAGAGTCCCTCAGCTGAAGTCTTGCTGTGTAATGAAAGAGATCTCGTGGGCCAACAGTCAAACTGAAAGTGTCTGATTATATATCGGCAGAATCGTTTCCCTTAAGAACTCCGATTTCACATCGTTTCCCTTAAGGGAATCTGCGATCTGAGCGACTCTCGCTCTTGATGCCCTTGATCTATCCTCGCATGGATGGGTTGCTGTTAAAGTTGCCCTTTTCCAGATTAAAGGGTCTCCTTTCTTACCAAAAACTTGAAAATAGTGATATTTCAGTCCACAAAGCTTTGATCTCCTCTTTGGCTAACGTAATCACGCCAAAGTTGACTCTAGAGTGCAACTCGCAAACAATGATAACTACCAATTTATGCGGTCAGAGTCATGGATTGTGCCTATGCCAACATGACAAACCTGCCGCAATGGAAGACCAGTCTTGGATCACTGATGTCCTTGAAGCTCTCCGCTCAAGCTGCATGTAACGACTCGGGACCTATGCACAGTTTGATTGCTCAGGAAACGTTTGACTCTGTTGGATTCAAAGGTGCGTTGCGATTGCTGCAATTTACAATCAAACTCTCTGTCTCGAAGCACAAATCGAAACAGCACGAATAGCGAAGCATATCCAAACATTCAGAGAATGGGCCAACTCGTCTACAACCTATAACGCTGAAACACTTGTGTCAAACATGTGGTGTGTGTGTCCACACCTGTACCAAAGGACACTCACCATTGCACGGTAATCCATGCTCCTATTAATTTTCAACTAACCAAGCAGGGGCCACAGACCTGCCACTGCCGCTGTGGCCAACGAAGACCGGCAGTGGCAGGTGTGAAAAATTTTTAAGCGTTCCTTCGGCAGACTTGCACTTGCGCCTTTCGGCCTCACTTCCGTTTCAGACGCCCAGGGTCCTTTGGGCTTCTCTGCGGACTTGCACTTGAGCTTTTGGCCTCACTTCCGTTTAAGACCCCCGGGATCCTTTGGGTTTCTCTGCAGGCTTGCACTTGAGCTTTTGGCCTCACTTCCGTTTAAGGCCTCGCAGGATTTTGTTGGGTTTCGCCTGTCAAGGTCTAACTGCACTGGTAATGTAATCACTAGAATGGGCTGCCACAACTGGTTTAGCTCTTGCGAGCATCCATCTAAGTGTGTTTCGCCACAGAGTCCCACTGCGGGCTGTGGTGTGATCCCCAGCGAGGGACGCAGCATGTGCACATGCCCGCCAGGGTGATCCTCACCGATTTCTCGTTTTGAAGAAGGAACTTCACTCGATTAACGTACTTGTCTGAAAATGCTGAATGTAGGCCGCAGGGCTCACTGAGATTCACTTTCAGAGAATGTCATGACATGCCGCTAAGTATTTATTCACACGTCATGCTGCTAAGTATTTATAGGCCATAGGACTTTTCGGTTCTTTCTCTCCTGCTGTCGCTCTTCGTTTTCTAGGTCTTCCTTCGTTTTCTAGAGGCTTTTTTGGGTGTAATTCAAGCCTTTTAGTCAAGAGAGCACCGTTTACGGCTTTTCGTCAACGCCTTCGGGCATGGACCCCCCCTCACCCCTCGCACCTTTCGTTCGTTGCCTTTTTCGTTTGCTTCAGGCTTGTTAGGTCGGCGTTTACGCTCGTTTAGTCGGCGCACGCCCTGCCCACACCCCCCGCACCCCTTGCACCTTTCCTTTCTTTCCTTGCCTTTTTCGTTTGCCTTGTTCTTTCTTTCAGGCTTGTTAGGTTGGCATCCAGGCTTGTTTAATCAATGCCCTCCCACACCCTCTCCCCCCCCTGCGGCACTAACCAAGCCGGGGCCACAGACCTGCCACTGCCGCTGTGGCCAACGAAGACCGGCAGTGGCAGGTGTGAAAACGTACCTGCACCAATTTTTCAGCGTTCCTTCGGCAGACTTGCACTTGCGCTTTCGGCCTCACTTCCGGTTCAGACCCCAGGATCCTTTTTGGGTTTCTCTGCAGACTTGCACTTGAGCTTTTGCCTCACTTCCGTTGAAGACCCCCAGGATCTCTGGGTTTCTCTGCAGGCTTGCACTTGAGCTTTTGGCCTCTCTTCCGTTTAAGACCCCCCAGGATCCTTTGGGTTGCACTTAAGCTTTTGGCCTCACTTCCGTTTAAGGCCCCCCAGGTTTCGCCTGCCAAGGTCTAACTGCACTGGTAATGCAATCACTAGAGTGGGCTGCCACAACTGATTTAGCTCTTGCAAGCATCAATCTAAGTGTGTGCATCCCACACCTTCAGTCCGAACCCACAAAACGCAAAGCAGAAAGTGAAAACAAACCCGGACAAAAACTCCCAACAGCCTCTGGAATTGATGTCTTTTTGACCTTCTTGATGGTCTGGGCCACCTCTTTGCATGCATCAGCGGGCACTGGATCATCTTTGGTAGAGCTGCTTTCAGACGCATTCTCCAAATCCTCAAGAACGGGGCTGGAAACAAGCGAAGGGCCCTTGCTACTTGTAGCTTCTTGTTCCTAGTAGTAATGCCAGGAGCGCCCCTAGTAGCGCCCTTGCTCCTAATAGCTGGCCCAGGCACCCATCTTGATTGCATCCAAAAATAGGTTCGGCTGTGCATGGTTGCAATCCCCGAAGAGTGGCAACAAGAAAGCCGCCCTAATCGTCTTCGTAGTAGCAAAGAAACTGACGATGAAAAAAGGGAAAGTAAGATCCCGTTCAAGGAGGGCCCGACCTTCATTTTATTCATCCCTGTTCTCTTCTTTATATAATGTTCTCAAAATATGCTACTGATTATACTGGGCTCGATGAGTGGATACAAAAGTCCATGGCGCAGCCAACTGTTTTTGTATATTTGAGATGTTCTTGAAGGCATGTTCGTTTCAGCGCATTGTTTGAAGCCCCTCCATAATTGGTCCAGATTGAAACAGCACAGTGAACGCAAGTGTCCCACATGTTTCCTCGAAGTTCAAGGCATTGCGCACCACTCCACCTTGGAGGGTCGCCCTAGACTTTGGCAGTCTTTTTCCCTGGGCTCTGAGCTAGTTGACTGCGCAAGGTCCAGACTTCAGGCATGTTCTCTGAAGTTCGCACATTGTTGGGAACGCCACTTCGGTCTGGTTCAGCGCACTGGGAATGCAAGTTCAACCAAATGCATCAGATCTTGCAGTTGCTTCGTTGCGGAGAATGTTGGCTTTCACTGCTCAAGCATTCCGCCACCTTTGCAAGCATACCACATTCTGTGACTCACCTGTTTGCGACCTTCTCCTGAAAAAATAGATACGCCAGCATAGACCCAAAACATCATTGAATTCCAATGTTGGTGGTAACGTTTGCATTGGGAATGGCATGCGCACTTAGTCATAGGGTTTTCCGTTAACTCTGTTCCACGCGAAAAGGGACGAAGCAACGGAATGGCGGCTGGGTCCAGTGACTTGAAGGTGTTTTAACAAAAGAGTTCGCGCGTGACTGCAGAAAACTTGTTACTGAATACTTAGCAGACCAAGGAAAGGGAAGAGTGAACCGAAACGCGAATAGTCAGAGTGCTTGAAGGTGTTTGAGCAAAGGTTAACGAGTGACTGCAGAAAACTAGTTACTGAATACGTAGCCGATCGAATTAACGCCGTGCATAGAAAAGGTTTAGGGGAATATCACGCAAACACCATGCAAACAAACCACAGCGAAGGAGGAGGTCAACAGTTCAAATTTCAGCAGGTACGTGGAAACGGCGTCCCATTCCCATATCCTCGGATACATCGCCAGCTTCGTTGACCAGGCGACGATGTATCCTGCCTGGTCCCCTGCTTTGGCAAAACTAAGAACCCTTAGATCTCTTAGAAACAGAGTGTGACACACACACACACACGGAGCCGCTTGGCGGCGCTCCCGGGACGTGCAGGTCTGCCGCGCGAGCAGCAAATTACGGGGCAAAACCTGAATAGGAACCTAAAGCCTTAGAACAAGAGAAAGAAAAACAGAAAGAGCAAAGCAAAAAGGGCAGGAGAGAAAGATAGGGGTTCGGCCCTGCGGCGCTCGATCAGCAATCTCAAGCAAAAACGACTCGAGCCAGTGGGGTTTCGAGAGAAGATCACGGGAGAAAACGCGGCATGAATCAGTGGGATTTCCCCAGACATGGGTCTATGCACATGCTGCGCCCCTCGATGGGGGTCACACCACAGCCATCAGTGGGACTATGTGGCAACACACACTTCGATTGATGTTCGCAAGAGCTGAGTCGGTTGATGAAGTTCCCCTTTACACTCATTAGCGCTTGACTCGATGGAACAGAAAGGTGAAAGAGTCCGGAAACCAGAATTGTTGAAACATCGCTCATTAGCTCCTTACAGCAATTGAAACAATTCCTGCAGGTACATGGTTGAGCGTCCTCAACCACTTCCCATCTCGCTGCCTAGCTTTGTTAGACCAGGTCAGCAACGAGATGCCTGGTCCCCCTGCCTTTAAAGTTTCTTTGTGTATGTCCTTTGAAACAGGAAGCGACACACACACACACAAAAAGAAAAGAAGCAAAATAAAGAAAAAATCGAAAACACTAGTTCCTGATTCCCAAGGTCACATGTGTAAACACGAAGAGACACAAATGTCATGAAAAATCCGAGGATGATATCAAACGCTGCATCAGAGTTGCATTCATAGTCATAGTCGCAAGACAAGGCGGTGGAGAAAAGCCGCGTGGCCAAAGCAGGGGATAAGGCCGGGACAAGGTGGTGATGAAAGGGCCGACAACGCGCACAAGCAGAACAAACCCGGACAAGGCGTGGACAAAGCCCTCACAAGGGAGGACGAGGCCGCTAAACTGTTTGGGGAAGAAGAGGACAATAGGAGGACAACACCCGGCCACAGGGTTAAGTGTCTTTGCGTAGCAGCAGAACACCAGGAGGACAAGAGGATACAGGATTCGCCAATGACGGCGTTGATGAACGGAATTTGCCAATGCACGCCAATACCATTTTTGCAAAACGTGTTTCTGGTAGATGAATTTGCAGCAATCAGTTGGCAGCAAATTAACCTGCTGCTCCAATTACCGGATAAGTGGCTGATGTGTGCGCTGCAGTGCGCGCGTTTTTTTCAATTTCACGCAGACTCGATCGCGCCAATCAATCCATGCCTGTTCACTCCCCGACCCCTTGCGCCCCCTCGGGGAGACTGGACTGTTTGAATGCTGTGGGTATGTCCAAGATGATGCTGCATCCCTCTTGGTGACGGTTTGGCAAAATTTTGCGTTGTTCAGCACGGCTAACCTCCATGACGGTGAGGATGAAGTTGCTTTTCCTGCTCAGCATCAGTGCCCTTTGGCTTGCCAATCTCCTTGGCAGAGCCCTAGCTCTTCATGACGAACCATCTTTGGGAAACTGCAGGTGGGCATGAAATAGGATTCGAGAAGTTCCATTCAACCACTCTGAACGGCCACACGAAAGGATTGTGTGGTCGATCATCTAGCTGACCAGAACTGGTTGTCCCCACCCGTCCAAAGACCGAGCCCAGCGACGATTCTGTGGGTACGAGGCATCAACACCTCCGGATACATGTCATCTGGCAGATCATCTGCCTCCTTGGATTTTGCACAGCAGCGGCGTTGCTGGAAAAACTCCAGTTGTTTTGATCGAACCAAATAGTTGTCCATGTCAAATAGTTCCTTGCTTCAAGCATCTCATTTGATTCACCAGTGGGCAAACTAGAACCACCTCACTGTAATGCCTTGCCTTGTTCAAGCAAGGTACACCCCATCCCTCTTCCCCCTATCCATGTCAACAAAGTGTTGCGCACAAAAGGCACAAAGCTCGAGTCGATACCAAGTTTCAGCCGGTGAAAACGGAGTCGCCTTGGGCTCACGATTTGCCTTCGCGACTTGCGCTGCCTCCTTGTGATGACCATCTCTTCCCACCGGGTCCTCTGCAGCGCTCTTGATAGCGCTTTTGTGGAGCACACACAACTACTGTTTGGTGACTTCTCAGTTGTTTGAAGCTTAGATTCACCTACACGTACATAGAAAGTAAAAGTCGTGCTACGAAAGGAAAGGACCTCACCTTCAACCCAGCAAAAAAAGAAAAGGTGGAACCCACGAACCCGAATGCAAACACGCGCTCGAAAACAAACACCCGAACAATTTTTGACACTCTTGTAGGAGACACTTTTGCGGGACACTCTTGTAGGACACATTTTTTCGGAAAGCTTTGTGGGACACTCTTGTGCACTCTTGTGGGACACCTTGTATGACACTGACTCTTGTGAGACACTCTTGCAGAAGATTCTTGTAGGACACTCTTGTGGGACACTCTTGTAGGACTCTCTTGTGGGACACTCTTGGGCACTCTTGTGGAACACTCTTGCGGAACACTCTTGTAGGACACTCTTGTGGGACTCCCTTGTAAGAAACTCTTGTAGGACACTCTCGTGGGACACTCTTGCGGGACACTCTTGGCACTCTTGTAGGACACTCGTGGGACACTCTTGTAGGACATTCTTGTGGGACACTCTTGCTTGTCACTCTTGCGAAACACTCTGGTAGGACACTCTTGCGAAACAGTCTTGTAGGACACTCTTGTCGGACACTCTTGTGGGACACTCTTGCAGGACACTCTTGTGGGACACTCTTGTAGGACATTCTTGTGGGACACTCTTGCTTGTCACTCTTGCGGGACACTCTGGTAGAGCACTCTTGCGAAACAGTCTTGTAGGACACTCTTGTGGGACACTCTTGTACGTCACTCTTGTGGGACACTCTCGTGGGACACTCTTGTCGGACACTCTTGTGGGACTCTTGTGGCGCACTCTTGTGGGACACTCTTGTCGGACACACTTGTGGGACACTCCTGTAGATTTGTGTAGGACACTCTTGTGGGACACTCTTGTGGGGGACTACTAGAGTCTCCAAAAGTTACAGTTAACCGTCACGTCTCCAGAACAAGCGTTTAACAAGCGTTTCGTCCAAAAGTCACGCGTCCAGGTCAACTTCTCCTAAACGAGCATTTCGTACGAGAGTTCCTCCAAAAGCATCCAAAAGCCAAGCGGGAACCCGCATCGGAGCACGCACATCAAGCAACCCTGCCAAGCAGTTTCGCGGTTCCAGCCCCTCCAAACAACGCCCACCCACACGCCAATCCCAATGTCACAGCGACACTCACCTCCACCACAACTCGCAACCTCACGATTCCCTGCGCCTGCCACGAAAATTTACGCGTCCACACGTCTGACACACACAAAGCACGGCGCCTGCCACGAAATGTGACCAGCGCCTTATCGCCCTACCGTCCGCGAACGGCGGCAAACGGTTGCGAATGGTTGCGAACGGTCGCGAATGGTTGCGATCGGTTGCGGACGGTTGCGAACACTGAGACAACGAGTCGCGAACAAGGCTCTACCCGGAGACCCCATAGTTAAACGAGAACCCTTCGCTACGCATTCGGGAAGGACAATCTTCGCTTTAGCCAGCAGTCTCTCCTTCGGCTCCGGATTGGGGTCGGCAGGTTCCACAACCTCTTCAATGTCGTCGTGTTCCATGGGATCGTCCACAAGGCTCTCTTCTGATTCTGTGTGTCTAGAGCGGGTGCCTGGCAACCTTCTGGCAAACTCCTCAAAACATATCACTCAGGCAACCACTCTAAAGAAAGCACAACTCGAACACTCATCTTAAACAAATACAAATCCAGCTTCTGGTGGTCGAATCGGAGTCTCCTTCGGTTCCAGTTTGGTCTTAGCAGGTGTTGATGCCTTTTTGTGATCAAGTGCCTTCTCCACCGATTCCTCAGAAGGACTCTTGACATGACTGGCAAGTCTTATGAAACAGACTTCATTAAGCTCCCAAGTCTAAGCCACAACAAAGTGTTGCACACAAGAGCACAAAGCAGGAGGAAAGACCAAGTTTCAGCCGGCGGAAACGGAGTTGCCTTTGGCTCACGATTTGCCCTCGCAACTTCTGACTCATCCACCGGTGGGTCCTCTACAGCGCTCTTGATAGTGCTTTTGTGGAGCAGCCACAAGTGCCAATTGGTGACTTCTCAGTTGTTTGAAGCTTTCATTGGCCTACAGCTGATGTCGACCCCCATTAATTAGTCAGATGGGAAGGAGTAACAAAAAGTGTTCGCCCCACCCTGAGTAGTTTTTGTGCGTTGGAATAGTAGATGATTTTTGCGCAGAGTGTTTTTTTGAGGTCTGCTTTGTCTGCCTATTGGTTTAGTGTTCTATTGTTCAGCTGTTGTGTCCCTTTAAGACCTTGTTTAACTTCGAGGTTTGCTAGTTTCCTGAACTCTGACCAGAAAACCTGTCTCAAAAACCCTTATGAAAACTCATTGAAATCATTGTTCCCCCCATTTTTCAAGGAGGCAGTACACAAGCCCGGGGGAAGTGAATTTATGTGAACTGCTTAAGGGGCGGGATTAATGCGCCAACTTGGAACCCTGAGAAAAATATCTGAGTTCAGTTTTCCATTGTTCTGTTATTTCTGCCGTTTGAGGTCTTTGCTCAACCTCTTCTGAGGTTTGCTTGTTTCCTGGAACTCTGACCAGAAAACCTTTCTCAAAAACCCTCATGCTCATTGAAATCATTGCTTCAACAATTTATCAAGGAGGTAGTACATAAGCCAGGGGAAGTGAATCTTATACACATAGTTACATATATATATATATATTAACTGTTTAGGGGGTGGGATTGATGCACCAACTTGAAGCCCTGGGAAGAATATTTGAGCTTCGTTTCCTACTTTCCTACTGCTACTCTTTTCAGATCCTTGCTTAACCTCTTGTGAGGCTTGCCACTGCTGCTGCTACTACTATACTACCACCACAACCGCCACCGCCACCACCACGACGACGACAACGACGAAATCCCTCAAACCCAGCTAGTTTTGGTGGAGGTTAACCCTCGACTGTTTATCAAGATCAAACATTACATGCAGGAGGACCATAACCAGCTTTAGCCACTTTAGCCAGGAGTATCAGAATCTCCTCGGGCTTCGGATTTGTCTGGGCAAGCTCCACGACCTCTTCAACGTCGTCACTTTGCATGGGATCATCCACAACGATGTCTTTTGATTCTGTGCGTCTGGAATGGCTGTTCCGCGAACTTCCTCCAAATTCCTCAAGAATCATTCGGGAAAGCTGGATTGGAACTACTTTCTCCGAAGCTGGCGTGAGAAATAATGCATAACTCAAAAAAAGGAAAAGAATCTGATCTAATGAAACTTGCACGAGTACAAGTTCAGTTTCACACGGTGGAATCTGAGTCTCCTTTGGTGCTAGTTTGGTCTTAGCAGGTGTTGAAGCCTTTTTGTGGGCAGGTGCCTTCCCCTTCTCCACCGATTCCTCAGAAGGACATGACTGGCAAGTGCCACAACAAAGTGGTGCGCACGAAAAGCACAAAGCACGAGTAGAGACCAAGCATCAGCCGATGAAAACGGAGTCGCCTTGGGCTCACGATTTGCCTTCGCAACTTCGGCTGCCTCCTTGTGATGACCATCTCTCACCGGCTCCCCTCTAGCGCTCTTGATGGTGCTTTTGCGGAGCACACACAACTATTATTTTGGTCACTTCCCAGTTGCTTGAAGCTTAGATTAAGCTACACATAAGAGGTAAACGTCGTGCTGTGAAAGGGAAAGGACCCCTTGTAACTCCAGTAACCACCTGTTCAACCATATCAATAACCAATGTAGCATCGTTCCTCGGTTTGTTGAAAAGACCAAAATGGAAAAATATACTTTTGCCAGCAATATCTCTCTCCTTCGGCTCCAGATTGGGGTCGGCAGGTTCCACAACCTCTTCAATGTCGTCGCTTTTCATGGGATCGTCCACAAGGCTCTCTTCTGATTCTGTGTGTCTAGAGGGGCTGCCCGGCAAAATTCCTCCAAACTCCTCAAGAATTATTCGAGAAAAACTGGTTTGGAACTACTTTCTCTGCAGCCAACATGAGAAATAATGTATATATTTAAAAAAAAAAGTATCTGATCTAATGAAACTGGCACAAGTACAAGTCCAGCTTCAGCCGGTGGAATTGGAGTCTCCTTTGGTGTTAGTTTGGTCTTCGCAGGTTTTGAAGCCTTTTTGTGGTCAGGTGCCTTCTCCGCCGATTCCTCAGAAGGACTCTTGACATGACTGGCAAGTGTTATGAAACAGACTTCATGAAGCTTACAAGTCTAAGCCACAACGAAGTATTGCACACGAAAAGCACAAAGAACAGAGACCAAGCTTCATCCGGTGGAAACGGAGTCGCCTGTGGCTCACGATTTGCCCTCGCGACTTCGGCTGCCTCCTTGTGATGACCATCTCTCACCGGGTCCTCTGTAGCACTCTTGATAGTGCTTTTGTGGAGCCCACACAACTATTATGTTTCCAGTTATCAATTTTTTAAAGCTTAGATTCACCTACGCGTAAGGTTAATGGGGGAGCAACAAATAAGTACAGCATCTATTAAAGATATGCGACGGGGGTCAAAGGGAAAAAATCATTTAAAAGGAATAGTGAACAACGAAAAGAAAAGGAGATTAGGGAAAGGACAACAGCAGCAGGGCGGGTGACCAGAGGACCATGAAAGGATGTTTGCAACAAGTAATCAAAAAACTTAAGCCAGGGTGTCCAATACTTGGCGCGGATATGCGATGGGGTGATAGTTAAAAGGTCGGTGGTGGCAGGCCCAGTGCATTGGCCAAAGTAGGGTAGATTTTGTGGCGCCACAGCAGGGTTGCAAGCTACAAAAGCCACCAGACGCTGAAGGCACTACAAAATACATCATCATCATCATCATCATCTTTCTTTCATACGCTCTTCCGTTGAAGATCGCGTGGACCCAGGTGGTCCATCTGGCGCCCCGAGGGGCCTTGCCCTCAGCAAAAGCTTTGGTCTAGCAGCCGAGCGAGTGTCGTGGCTCGCGCTGCTTCCCTTTGGTGGGACCTCAACATCAAATGCAGCATCACAAACTGCCGCAGGCAAGGGCATGTGTGGTCCTCGTTCAGACCGACGCCGATGCCATTAAATGGTTGGTAGGCACACCATCGCGTTGGATGGGCTTTCGAAATGAAGCTCACTGCGCACTTCTCAGTCAACGATCCAGCCTCATCCCACCAAGACCGATGCGCCACTTCCAAATGGCTGTTCATGTCCCGTGGCCAGCTGCCACAGATGATGCACTTCTTCACAAGTCGATGGCATAGACTGGGGTTGTCAACCAGGATCTGGGTGTCCAAGAGGTCAAGGCTTTGAAGCCAGGCTCCATGCCAGTTGTCGTTGATGGCAGGGTCGTGGATGATGTTATGCACCTTTTCCTGCTCAGTCAGGATGGGAGACTCATCTGCCATGAGAGAGACCTCTTCTGCACCACCATGTGAAGTGCAGTTGAGCCAAAGAAGACAACTGTTCTCTTGAGCCACCAGGGGAAGAGCCGAGAACTTGACCGGCTCGTTGGAGTCGTCGAAGATCCACCACCAGTCCTTGTCCTTAATGGCGGTGCAATAATGTCCACTAGAAGCTTCAGCGCCAAGATGATAGGAAACTCCAGTGACCACGAAGGGGATGTAGTCGACCTCGAGCTTTTCTCCCAGGAAAAAAGGTAACCAGACCTTAGAGTCCCAGGTCAGGCGGGTTTTGCTTTTCCTTCCCCTCGAATCGAAGCGGTCGATGTGCAGGCATGTAACATCCGAAGGATCAGTCAAGGCGTGTAACCCGAATGATGCGAGGCTCCAGTTGGAGACCAGCCCTTGCAGGTCGATGGGAAGCGTGCTCTTTTGTTCACTGCAGATGTATAGATGCTAAGGGGCATCCTTGGGCGTTGTGGTCCACCACCTTCATGGTGCCCTCCTCCTCCAGCTGGCTTTCCCAACAACAGCTGAGAAAAAAAGGGTTGGTTTGTTGAAGAAGGTGATGAGCAAAGTCAACCACGTCATGTTGCCGAAAAGGATTGGACCAATTGGCTAGGAGTGAGGTCCACTGCCCATCTGACCATAAAAGCAGCGATTGCCCTTTGGACACATCTGCCAGTTCCCCAAGAACCCCCGGGAAGTTGGACCATTGATCCACCTTCAACCCATCAGCCTGAAGGGCGCTCCAGGCTAGTCCAGTGACGACCGAGTTCATGTAACAGGCCGCTGCTGGATTCTGAAGTGTCCGAAGAGGCGGAGTAGAGGATGTCATCAAAGTTGATCCAGCATCTTGCCCAAGTGCTGAGCCAGAGGAGACCTGTGAATGCTGGCCGAGCGCATTCTGCCGAGCACGAGTTGCCAGAGTCCTGAATGACTCAATTGGTGCCACAATCCCCTCATCTCGTTGGCATGAGGATGAACCGGGATGATGGCTGACGGTGTCTCCGTCTCCGTGGTCATGACCTTCTGGATGTGCTGTTGGGGGCGAAGAGCTCCAAACCTCTTGTCCAGGGCTTCTTGCTGAAGCAGTGTGAGCATCCTTGTCACAGTCTGTGAGGCCTGGTTCAGGGTCAGAGGCGCCTCTTCCAGAGCCTCCATCACTTGCTTGGTCGAATTCCACTTCATCCGTGGAAACATGTACGAGTCCCCCTTCTCTGGCTCGAGCTGCAAAAAGTTCAGGCGTTGCAATGTCTGGATCAAGGGATCTGAGGAGGCCGTGGGTTGAAGCTTCTGGATCCTCTTCAGCAGCTCTTCCAGGAAGGAGGGTCTTCAGGACCAGGATCCTGACTGGATGGGTTCTCTCGGTCTGTGGCGTTTGCTGCCAGGTTTGTGTCTGCATCATCATGAATCACTCAACCTGGACCCACGCTCAAAAAAACGAAGAAGTCCGTCTCCATAGCCAGGCATTGGAGTGTGTCCTCGTGTCGAAGTACGAGACGGGTCATTGCCTGCAGTATCTGGTGTGGATTCGTCCTTGATGTTCTGGATCTTCCCCTGGCCTCTTTTTCCTTTTCCTTTGCCCTGGCCCTTCACGCCATTCGACATGGAAGACCTCGGGCGCTTTGCGCTCTGCTTGTCCTCGTCCACCTCCATCTTCACCCATTGGTTCAGAGCACTGATGTCCACACAGACCACAGATGTACCCCAGCCTCCTGATGAGGGACTTGTAGGCCATCAAGTGGTCGAAGGTGCCCCCATGTAGTCCTGAGATCACCAGAGGATGGTGCCATAGAAGAGGAGGAGCATCCGGAAGAGGTTCAGGACATTGTCCACCATCAATGTGGTGCCGTAGTGCTGCCAGCCAAAGAAAGGAGGCGTTGCAGTGTGCACATTGTGTGAGACTCGGCACCTGATCCCTGGCCGCCATGAAGGTCCGGGTTAGGGTTGAATGCGGATGCTCCAGATGTTGAGAAAGTCCAGCTGCCGTCACAAATTTCCGTGGACATTGGGCACAGGCAAATTGTGCATCCATCCTCTGAGGAGGTTGAAGGACCGGTGGAGGACAAGCCGGATACTGTTCCCTGTGTTTCCTGTAGGCCAGAGCAAGCCCGAGTTGCTTCTTCACTGGACAGGTGTGTGTCTTGGAGCGGAATTCCTGCCCACAAAGTTCACATGGTGAGCTGGTCCGAGCTCGAACAACATTGGGAAGGACTTCTCCCATCATGCCATAGATCTCCCCATGATCCCGTCCCATGTGTGCTGACATTTGCTGCAATCTAGAAGACCAAAAGCCACAAAGAATGCACCTTTGGGTCAAAAAGTAGCAGAGGCTCCGGTCGTTGGCAAGTGGTGCCATGTCACCCTCATCATAGTAGGCCAGCAGCTTTTGCCGGTGTTCTTGAAGTTGTTCCGGCGGTGCCTTGGTGGAATCAAATTCAGAGCATGCATAGGAGCTGACATGATGCCGGAAGTTCTGCCAACTAATGAAGGATTCTCCACAATCACGACAGGTAGGTTTGCCATCAACTGCATCTCTAGCTATGTCCAAGGCGGGCCCAGCAGCATGTAGAACCCCGTGAACAAACATTTCATGACGTCGTAAGGTATAGAGAAACTGAAAGGTTTGCCCACACTGTTGACAGTCCAGTCCAGCCTCTGCAAGGGGAAGCTTCGGTTGCAAGTCCAAATCGCCAAGGTCCTGAAGCCAAGAATCAACAAGATTGACAGATGTCTCCAGTGTGTGGAGGTCAAGGAGGTGGAGAATGTCATGATCCTCAAGTTGGAGAATCCGGTCCTCATGCCTCTTCAGTTGAGAGGCCATCCGCTCCCGAAGCAAAAGCGCCGGGTGCTGAATGTGGTGGTCGGACAGAAAATCCATGTTTGTGTTGCAAGTCAAAAATGAGTGATCTCCAGCCGCTTGTCTCAACATGGTCGTCATGGTCTTGGAGAACATGGGAATGGAAGTGTGATCCACTCCTGTTGCATCCAGTCCATAAACACCTATTGGAAAAATGCATGTCTGCCAAAGAGCCACCTTCTGAGCCGAGTGCATACCATTCTTCGTGAACCAACGCTGCATCTGCTTGAAACGAACTTTGCAAGCTTGAAGACGTGCTTTCATGGTGTCTCGTTGAAAGTTGAAGTATCCCATTTGAACTCCCAAATATTCGTGCTTCTCTTTGATTGGAATGGCGTGCGAGCCACCTTCTGCCTTTGGTATGAGCAAAACTGAACGGTCCAGCTGCTTTTGCACATATCGTTTCTTGGCTTGGCTCTGTTGTTTGCCGCCCCAGCGAAGGATGACAGCTGATTTCTTCATGTTCACCGTCACGCCCAGACTTTCAAGGACAGAAATGAGTTTGCCAAAGAAAACAAGACCTTGTTGAAGTTCCTCAAGGGTACTAAAAACAAAGCATGCGTGGCCATCATCCGCATAAAAGGTGCAGGATTTCCGCATCCAGTCCTCTGTGGTTTCAGCCGCTACCAATTGCAGGATTAAGGCAATGAAACTCGCCCAAAAAAAGGGTGCACCTCTGCAGCCTTGTCGAACTCCCCTGAAGGTTGCTTGTTCCACCGAAAGTCCTTTCCACTGTATGATATAGGAAGTTTCGGTGCGCCACTGCATCAACAGAGATGTGAGGTCATAGGGAAGTCCAAGGAGAGAGAATGCTGCAGCTAGGTGCTCCCTTGGCATGGCATCAAAGGCTCCTGTAAGATCCAGAAAGAGTTGACACCCTCCAAACACTACGGGGCGTTTCCCCCCTTGACTATTCACTTGACCGGCGTCATATCTCCATCGACGATGAAGCTCCGAGACCTCCCGAGAATGAGATTGAACCCGGGTGATTGCTTCCCAGGTCCCCCTACCCGGCAGGTAGGCAAATTGCGGAACACATGTCAGTGCTGGAAGTGTGATTTTCCTGGCTTCATGAACAAATAGGGACATGACCGTCTTGGAAAGTGGAGTCTGAAGGGCAATAGGTCGAAGAGCTTTCGGTTCTACTGGAGGTTTGTTTGGTTTGGGCAGCAAGACCACACAGCCTTTCCGCCATTCATGTGGAATGGTGCCTTGATGCATCCATTGTTCCAGCCAGGAGTAGACCAGTGGCCCCACGGTGGAAGCCAGGGCCTTCCAAACAAAGCTTGGAGCCACATGTTGTGGAACGCTTGTTCGTCCATAAAGTTCTGGAAGCCCTTGAACCAGGTCCATGGCCTCGAAGGGAAGTTCTGCAAGATGGAAGCGTTGTCCTTGGAGATCTTTGCCGGCATAGAGGTCAGCCATGTATTCTTTAATCCAACCAAGCTCCTCCTCAGGTGCCATGAGATGCCCTCCTGTGCGTCGAAGCTGAGGTCGAGGAGGCCGTGCTTTGGGTGTGAGCTTGTTGACCACCTTGAAGTATTTGTGAGAGTCATTGTTGGCCCAGCGCCTTCGAGCCTCCTCAATGGTGTTTGAAAGCTTGGCTTTTTTGGCAGCCTTGGCTTTTGATTGGTTGTCCTTTTCCACCATTGAATTTTGGCAGCCTTGGCCCAGTGCCCAAAGAGCTGTTGGAGTCTGCTGGTGTAGTGCGTCCTGGTAGCAACTTCCGGGAGGGAGAGGCCAGGATGCCCCTCCGCCCATGTCCAGAAGGTAGGAGGACGGTCTTGTTGGCCCCTGGAGTGTGGAGCAAAGTCTTTGCAGCCATCGAGGAGAACGTGATTGAGAGCCTCAAGATCCAGAGGTTGGGTCCAGAGCGTCCCAATGGTGTGCTCCAACGAGGAACAGAAAGAACGCCAATCATCACTCTGAAGTTCCCAATGCTGAAGAAGAAGATCTTGTTGCCCTCGTGGGATGCCATTCGGGGGTCAAGCCCAGGCCCTCCCCTTGTAGGGAACCGTGAAGAGAATGGGAACGTGGTCTTTGGAGTGTCCAAACATCTGGGGAGCTCCTTGAGGTAGAGGGGCTTCTTGGTGATGGAGTCGCTAGACTTGTGTCTGACCAAGACATAGTCAATCCTGGATTTGTTGGAGTGACCTCCGGTGTAGGTGGGGCCCAATGTGGTGTCCCAAGTGTTGATGGCAGTGAGGCCATGCTGAACTAGTAGGTCACCAAGAAGACTTGAGTCTGGGTGCCTTGGCCCAGAGCGCCGACCCTTTGCGTCCTGAAAGTCATTGAGGCCAACACAGTGCTGAATCCGATGGAGGCTTGTGTTCAGGTCACCTGCAAGGATCATCACATTCCGTTGAGGAAGTCCGGCCACTAATTGATGACATGCGTGAATGAGTTCTTGTCGATGTCGAAGACAGGCAGGATCATTTTGGATCCAGGCATGCTGATAGGCACTGATGATGTCCAGTCCCGTGGATGGGAGATAAAGTCGAACATGAAGAAGTCGTCCTGGAACAACTGCACGCCAGGAAATCTTGTCAAGGTTGCAGAACCCTTTTCTGATGATGATCATGGTGCCACCGGTCTTCCCGTTGGAGCCACTATGGATGTAGGCGTATATTGTTGTCAGACCAGTCACCACTGAAGCCCCAACGAGTGTCCTGCAGAAGCATGATGTCGAGGTGTTGGGAGAGCATCCACTGACGAAGGATGTCAAACTTGTAGTTGCTGAGAGAGCAAATGTTCCAGCAAAAGCCAGTAAGGCGATTTTTCCGTAGCTTAGCTGGAGGGATGACATTTGGTGTCAATGATGAGCTCGTGGTGTCCTGAGTCCTTAGTGGTGAGATGGCTTCAATCCCCAGCATGGCAGCCGGTGCACAGATATAGGATTTCTTTTTACGCTGAGGGTTGTGATGGTTGAGATGTGCGGAAGTAGGTCCAGGGCCACTAGGCTTCGCCATAGAAGGTTGTGGTTGGGCCAGCAATTTGTTGGCTCCCCCGAACCCCGTGGCGGGTTCGGAACCCTCAGGCCTCCAAGGCAAGGCATATGGATTGAGCTTGGTCGTGAAGTGCTCGTTGAAGATCAAAAAGAAGCCTCCAGCAAGGAGGAAGATGCTTGCCTTGGCCGGGGACTTGGGACCCCGGTGAGTGTCCAGGCGCATGCAAGGACCGTAATCCCCTGCAGGAAGAACGGATCAGGTAGGTCAAGAACCCGAGGAGGAGCCAGAAGCAGAAGGCAATCTCAAAGGTCACCACGGTGTTGAAGGCCCTGAACTGGTAGGTGAAGATCAAGTCGAGAAAGGGACCTCCAGGAAGAAGATCTCGAAATTGCCGGGAGTAGGACCTGCACGTCAGGAGCACCGGGTCCAAGGCCTTCAAGAGCTCCCTGTCCATGTGGCGGAAGGGGTCCGCACTAGCTCAGGCCATTGGGCATGACCTGAGCCTGAACACTCATGGCCCTTATCATCATCATCATCATCATCATCGAAAACTACACACCCTATTGCCCAGTCAATGAGGGGCTCGTCCACCACAGGGCAATGAAAGGATGCTTGCAACATAAATTCAAAAAGACTTAGCCGAGTGCGTGCAATATTTTGTGCGGGCGATGGGCGCCTGGGTGAGCTTCGTGGTAGGCCCACCGATTGGCATGGGGCGCAGGGCGCAGCGCCTCCACCCAAGAGCGAACCAACATCAAAAGCCATTGAACTCAAAAGGTACCACAAAATAGATCACAGTCGAAACTATACACCCCATTGCCTCATCAATGAAGAGCACTCAGAAAGTGACGCAAGGAAGGGGATCAAAGCACCAGGGGACCAAAGGACCAGGGGACGAATGGACCAGGGGACCAATGCAGGGAACCTAGTAGGAATGTCTTTTGATTACGTTCTTATATATTTGTTGGTCCTGATCTTAGTTGTTGTTTGACCCTGATAATTTTCCCTGTAACTACAGTAACCACCTGTTCAACCAAGTCAAAAATCCTCTAGCATTGTTCCTCGGTTTGTTGAAGAAGGCTAAATTTGAAAAAATAGACTTTGCCAGCAGTATCTCCTTCGGCTCCAGATTGGGGTCGGCAGGTTCCACAACCACTTCAATGTCATCGTTTTCCATGGGATCGTCCGCAACGCTCTCTTCTAATTCTGTGTGTCTAGAGCGGCTGCCCGGCAAACTTCCTCCAAACTCCTCAGAAAGAATCACTCAAGGAAAGCTGTTTACAACTTACAACAACATGTCTCCAAAGTAAGCTGACATGATGTGTATATATATAGTGTATAACTCAAAAAAACACCGACTACCAAAAAACTGCATAAGTACAAATCCAGCTCAACCCAGTCAAAAATCCTGTAGTATCGTTCCTCAGTTTGTTGAAAAAGTGTTCAGATTTAATTTAGGATTTTTTCGTGGCAAGTGCAGTACGTTGTGGACCTTGAAGTCTAAATTTCCTGGCGGGCGCAGTACTCTTGAAATGCAAATTTCGTGGTAGGCGCACTACTTTGTGGACGCTGAAGCGCAAACTTCGTGGCAGGTGCAGCACTTTGTGAACTTGGAAGCGCAGATAGAGAGAGAGAGATATATATATATGTAGAGAGAGAGAGATAGTGAGAGAGAGAGAGAGATGTAGACAAATAAACAAACAGATAGATATATAGATAGATGGATAGATAGACAGACAGACAGACAGATAGATAGATAGATAGATAGGCAGATACAAAAATAGATAGATAGATAGATAGATACATAGATAGATAGACAGATGGGTCGATAGATACATAGACAGATCGATCAATCGATAGGTAGATAGGTAGAGAGATAGACAAATAGATGGATAGGTGGACAGATATATACACAAATGGATAGAGCAGTGCGGAAAGAAGCTATGTTGAAACCTCGGTGAGGTTGAAGTGGCCCTCAGCATCCACCATTGTGGGGCTTTGCAGGTAATGTGTCATTAGACATGTTCATATTAACACCAAAGATAAACAGCTAAAGCCTTGAAAACCTCTTTGCGGCGTTGTCACAGCTAAGCGAAGGTGGGCCTTATCATCCACCTTTGTGGCGTTGTCAATGCAAAGAAGATAGTGGTTTGGTACTTACTGTAGTCGTCCCGTAGCAATCGTGTAAATTAAGAAAACGGGAGGGGGCGCGGGGCAGGGCGCAGCGCCTCCCCCGCAATGAAAACAAAGTATAGTCAGCAACTCGGCACTGAGAGCAAGCGCCGAAGTTTAAAGGTCTGCACCGTCGGACCCGCACCTACCCCCGGGTGGCTCACACAAGGTTTGCACCTGCCTCCTCTATATAAATTGACTCAAAAGCCACAAGCCACAAGCCACACGCGTCAGAAGCCCTCGTCCTTGAATCCAGAAGCCGCGAAAGCCACGAAAGCCACACAGAAGCCAGAAGCCGCGAACGCCACGAAAGCCAAAAGCCACAGAAGCCAGAAGCCACGAAAAAAAAAAAAAAAAAAAAACTTACCAAACAAACATTAAGAAAATCCTAAGTTCAATAAACGGCCCTCCGTTGAAAAAGGTGAAAACAGACAAAATAATATATATATAGAGCTAGCAGTATCTCCGCATTATCTCCTTCGGCTCCTGAATGGGGTCGGCAGGTTCCACAACCTCTTCAACGTCGTCGTTTTCCATAGGATAGTCCACAACGCTCTCTTCTGATTCTGTGTGTCTACAGCGGCTGCCCGGCAAACTTCCTCCAAACTCCTCAGAAAGAATCACTAAGGAAAGTTGGTTTATAATCACATGTCTCCAAAGCTGACGTGAGAGATAGTTTCTAACTAAAAAAGCCACAGACTACAAAAGACTGGATAAGTACAAATCCAGATCCAGCTTCGGCCAGTGGAATCGGAGTCTCTTTTGGTGCTAGTTTGGCAGGTTTCGGAGCCTTGTTGTGAGCAGGCGCCTTCTCCATCGATTCCTCAGAAGGATTGGCGACATGACTGGCAAGTCTTATGAAACACACTTCATGAAGCTTACAAGTCTAAGCCACAACAACGTGTTGCACAAGAAAGGCACAAAGCATGACCAAGCATCAGCCGATGAAAACGGAGTCGCCTTGGGCTCACGATTTGCCTTCGCAATTTCTGCTACCTCCTTGTGATGACCATCTCTCACCGAGTCCTCCGTAGCACTCTTGATAGTGCTTTTGCGGAGCACATTCAACTACTTTTTCGGTCACTTCTCAGTTGTTTGAAGCTTAGATTCACCTATGCGTAAGAGGTAAACCTTGTGCTACGAAAGGGAAAGGACCCCTTGCAACTAGGTACACGGCTGATAGACGGCCGTTAGTTCAATTAGGAATGATGTGCCCAACGTTTCTTCAGTGGAATCATGGTCAATTCCAAGCAGATTTGCCTGAAATGAGAGTTTCGCTGAGGCGAAATGCTGATTTTCAAGCATTTTTGAAACTACGTAACAAATTGGGCCGTCGGAAAGAACTGAGCCGGTGTGGCATAGGTCAAGCTTTGGCGCCATGCCCACATGTACACGTACTGCGGCGCGCTGCGGGTATTGAACGCTGAATGCAAAACTTAAGAGCATCAACTTCATGCATCAACTTCATGCAGCAAGTGCAACCGAACGTTAACATGCCCCACCCCACCCCCCACCCCATTCCCACACGTAGCATCCACATCCCCCTCAAGCAAACATGCAAAAACGACAGCGTAGAAAACGAAAAATCAAGAAAATGCAAGAAAACACCACGGCCGTCTATCAGCCGTGGGCCAACTACAGTAAACACCTGTTCAACCCCAGTAAAAAAAAATAACATGTATATGTCCTTGGTTTGTTGAAAAGATGCAAACATGAAAAGGACTTTAGCCAGCAATCTCTCCTTCAGCTCCAGATCGGGGTCGGCAGGTTCCACAACCTCTTCAATGTCGTCGCGTTCCATAGGATCGTCCACAAGGCTCTCTTCCGATTCCGTGTGTCTAGAGTGGCTGCCCGACGAACTTCCTCCAAACTCCTCAGACAAAAATATAGAAACAAATATATATATATATATATACGCTACCCCCCCAAAGATCTACCGTTTTTGCCTCCCACATGCATGTCTAAGTCAATATTATAGATAGATCTACTAGCACTTCAAAGAGCTTGGTATCAAACAAAAAACCCACCTTTGCACATCAAGGATCACTGTCAGCCATCAAAATATAGATTTGACAGATTTACCTAAGTATTCTATACACAAAAGAACTTTTAAAAGGGAAAATGCAGAAGACATACCAAAGCTTTATTTGACAAAATTATCAATATGAGAATACAACAAATTGCTTAGTGATGATAAAGAAAGATTGATGTAGTTGAAGGACTTGACAATGAAGTATGTAATGATGACAATCTAAGCTGTATCAAAATCAAAATCAGTAGAAAAATAAAAGAACGGTAAAGGAATGAATATGTTGAATGACAATTTGACAGATGCAGCTAATATGTATATATAGCACTATTATACAAACACACCAAAAAATGCTAACACACTTCAAACAACGTTGAAAAAAGGTAATTACATATAGATAATGTATGCTCGAGGAATGCATTAATGGATTTTATGACACTGCTCTTATGAGTGGGACAACTGGAAAAATACGTTTGATAGGAAAAGATTTGTGAGATTATGGGAAGAGATGAGTTGACTGAAAGGGAGTATCCATTAAGGAAATGGAACAGGTATTATATATTGAGTTTGACAATCGAAACATTAACTTATAAATATGACCCACACAAAAGAAACCATCGCATAAGACTCTGCAATGGTTAGAAAGAAACATGTCTATTCCTTTTATTCCACAGCCGGAAGACATTGCAACAGAAACAGGAAGTAAACAAACCCAGAGTAAAAGCTCCCATTGATGATTACATCAATGAACGGAAAGAACACCCTAATTACAACATGATTGCTGACATAGGTGACATTCTCAAAACTGAAATACCTAAGGATCGTCAGGTTAGGATATATTTTTTGGTGGCAAGAGACAATGGCCTAACCAATTTTTTTGATCTGTCATAAAGTGTTTATGAAGAAGGTACTAAATATATACCGAGTAGAAGTTATAGCTGAATCAAAACAAAAGTTGAACAAAGTCAAATATACAATCCAAACACAGAAGCCAGTTACACAGAACTTCGGTTGAGGGTTGCATTACAATTGAGAATGAAGACAATATGAACTTAGCAATGTATAGCTTCAACAAGGAAGTAGTTAACCCAGTTAACTGTTTTCTAAAGTTATACTATTCAATTAAGACATTGATCTTAAAACTTTGCATCAACCGTGGAATGAGAGGTTATGATATAGATATCTAAAAAGGTCCCTAAGGCAATGACTGAAATTGATCTTACCAGAGCATTTACACCCATTATAAAACAATGAAACTTTATCAGTTTGATACATTGAATCAAGTTATATAAAAATGTGGTCGATTATGATTTTTTCCCGCGAGCACAAATGGGCTCCCAACAGCCACGCGAAAGGAGGAATACATAAAAAACAATAGAGACATGGAATTACAAAGCTTGCAGAGCTGTGAAAGAAATAGGTGAAACAGAACACTCCACCAAAAGTACAAGAAAATAGAAACCAGCCGAACATGCAAATACACTACGCATCAGACAGCACAATAATCGAGAGTACCAAGAGCAGTACCATGAGAGGCTCGAAAGCCTTTGGGACTCGGCACAGTCCCATGCATCACAAGCCTGTGGCAAAAGGACCAGTTCTATTTATGGCGGCCTGTTTGATGTTACAAAGAAGTTGGTAGTCCGATATATCAAAAACAGTGTGGGGTCCAAACAGAAAAGAGCAGAAATCCTTGTAAGTTTCAACAACCCAATCTGCTCGGGGCCTACCTGGTCTCCGAAAAAGCGGAAATTTAGGTGTGACACCGTCAAATTCAAGAACGACTTGGACCAGCGGATCCGACCTAGGTGCCCTCAAAATATGGCCAAATAGGTGGCACTTTGCTTTTTTCCATGTCTGCCCGAAAGGTTCAAAAGTACATCCGTGCTCCTGCTGGATGCTAGCTTACATTCGAGTGTTAGTTTGTTCCCGATCAATGAACGTTGGAGGGATACCTAAGATCCTTCTGAGAGATTTGTGTTGAAAGGCATTGAGTCGAGATATATCAGCAGTAGTTAGCTGCATGCATTCAAGACTGTAGAGAAGTTTAGACCTAACAATAGCGTTGAAGACTTGTATTTTCCATTTGACACTGGTGTTAGCTTTTGACCAGAATATCTTAAGCCTGTTACACATTGCTATGCAGTCGCTCAGTCTATTGGAGATCTCTGCCCGGTTGTCAAAGGAGTCCGACAACAGGGTGTCGAGATATGTAGCAGAGCTTTTCCGTGGAACCTTGGTACCTTGTGCTGGGCCATTCGGAGCGAAATGAACGGAGGATTGCAGTTGGTTAGAGGTGAGATTTATGCATTTGTCATAGTTCAGTTTTAGCCCAAAATATGCAGAATGCCGTTCGATAGCATGTAGTAGAACATTAATGCAATGAGTATTGGCACCGAATATTAAAGTGTCATCAGCATACAGAATCTCAGCAAAATGAATGCAGTTTATTGGTTGCTGCTGTCTGGGGGTGTTAAGTTCTTGCTTCAAATCAGCAAACAACGCTCCCATGACCAAACAGAAAAGATACGGGGATAATGGGCATCCTTGACGGATCCCCGCACCTTGGCATTTCCAAGAGGAATCTTGCCCATTCATAGACACCTTGAATTTGGGTTCCCTATAAAAGCTTTGGATAAGACCGATTATGCGGTTGGGGACCTTTAATCGAAACAAGGTTTCAATCATTTTATCTTGGAACACTTTATCAAACGCCTTTTCCCAATCAAGAAGGATGAGGGTCCTGGCACTGTGCGATTTTTCAGAGAGGTCTTGAATACGTCTTGCTAAGAAAATAGACTGAGCAGTGCTCCTGGCTTTCCGAAAGCTATATTGCGTTTGCATGAGCCACCTATCCAGACCTTTGTCTAGCCGCTCTTTCACTAAGGCAGCTACAAGTTTATAGCATGATGTTAGAAGGGAGATGGGGCGATAATTAGACAACAACGAGGAGATGGGTCGATTATGATAGGTCGACTAAGTTTATTTTCTTGTAGGCAGAGAATTACTGTTGCAAATGGTGTAATGTTGTTCAAAAAGGATATAATGTTATCTACCAGGCAATATGAGACAATTTTAAGGACGAAAAGGTCAAGAGAAGAGCCAAGATACTGGCATGCAAAGAACCCAGTAAAACTCACAATATTAATTACAGAGGTATTCAGAATCAGTTGGGGAACACGAGCAAACATATCTGATAATCAAGAAGAAGACAAACTCAAAAAAATGTTGATAGGTGTTGTTAACTACGGATTCCTGGAAAAGGAAGCCTTGACAATTTTTTGGACCCGGATTCAAGACTCAAGATGCCTGGAAAAAAGTTTTCCAGCAATCTATTTGTGTTCTTCTCATAGACTGCCAAAACAAAAACCCAAAACAAAAAAACATAATCTTTGGTTTCAGCCTGACAGATTGTTTTTTGTGTTCATTGAGTTTTTTGTTTTTTTGGTTTCACTCATCAAACAAACAAAAAACACAAGGTGCGTTTTGGTGTTTGCTTTGGTCTATGCAACCGTGAATCACACAAGGTTTTTTGTTTTCGCTTATTTGTTTATCGGAAAAAATGGGTTTTGGTGCATTGTTCTTTTGGTTTTGGCAGTCTATGAGAAGAAAACAAACAGACAAAAGGTAGAGCGACAAATAAGGACTCACGATTCAAGATTGCTAGAATAACTTTTCCTAGGCATCTTGAATCTTGAATCCAGGTCCACAAAAGCCAGTTTTCTTTTTTTAGAAATACTAGTTGTTCTATTTATTTAACGTGTTTATCTCCAAACTATGCAATATATATATATATCATTAGAATTCATGAAAAAAGGTAGGTCGGGACATGGATGTAGAGGAGTGAGGAGTCCTTGCTTTAAGATGTATTACAAAGAAACGAAAAAGGTAGATCTTTGGGGGAATATACATATATATATAATTATATATACATATTCAGGAAAAGCTGGTTTATAACCACATGTCTCCAAAGCTGACATGAGATATAGTTTATATATAACTTTAAATAAAAAAAAAAACAGACTACAAAAAACTGAAAAAGTACAAACCCAGCTTCGGCCAGTGGAATCGCAGTCTCGTTTGGTGCTAGTTTCGTCTTCGCAGGTGTTGAAGCTTTGTTGTGAGCAGGTGCCTTCTTCACCGATTCCTCAGAAGGATTGGTGACATGACTGGCAAGTCTTATGA